GTGGAGATGGTGGGGGGGGGGGGGGGTGGGAGAGATAAGCGTGCAAGTAGCACCTGAGCTAAGAGGCTCCGAAGTCTTACGACTGCTTAAACATGATAAAGGCTTACTTTGTTCATTGTCCTCTATCGCTACACTCACCCCGTTCGCCCACCTCCCCCCCCTCTCTCTCTCTCTCTCTCTCTCTCTCTCTCTCTCTCTCTCTCTCTCTCTCTCTCTCTCTCTCTCTCTCGCCCTCGACTGAAATTCCCAGAGGGAAAATCCAAACGGCCCAAGGCTGGACTCGGATACGCGATTATCCGCGAGTATCGCTTCTACGATCGAGTGTTTCGCAGTGAGAGGCGGGGCGCAGGGGTTGGCCACCCCCGCTAGCGCCCTGGTGCACCCTCAGTCGGTACGGAGCGCTCGTCGAGATCGGTCGCGATGAAGCTCGGCGCCCGTCTTGCTAGGTACAAGAGGAAGCTCCTCGGGGCCATGAGGTAAGAGACTCGCTTAGCGCATCGACATATCGGGTAGGACGTGCGACGAAGAGAGTGGAGCCGCTGACGAAAGAGGGCATCGCGAGAGGGACAGAGGCCCCGACACTTTCTCTGTGAAATTCCATTGGGACAAGGACTTGCGACGACCCGAATAATCTCGTTTTAGACGTGAAATTACGAGGCAACGTAGCGATCCGCTTAGCTTCATTAGGGATATTTTTGGACTTAATGTGAATTTGTTTGCTGTTTCGTTAAAGCTTATGATACAAGCGACGAGCACTTGTTTGATAAATAAAAACTTAACTTTCCTTAAACATTTACGCGCTTATTCGGAGGTATCTTCAGTCAAATCTAATTTGCAGCTTGAGAAATGCGGCTATCTCCTTTGTAATCTAAAAACAAAGTCACTTTATAAAGCGACAGTTTTCCAAAACATGATGCGTTTCGTAAAAGTTTTATTTTTCTTCGTAAAGAAACTGCACCTATAAGCTTTAATATTCATAATAATTCATTTAATTTATTAACTGTCTCTCTCCACGCCTATTATTTATTATAAGATGTGCCGTTATAATATTTCTTATATAAGAGGTGATTTTTCGCGGACATTGTCAATGTACAATTGTTAAACTATACGCGTTGTTATTGTTGTTATCATTATTGATATATTCTTCCGACGATTGTATTGTTTAAATAAAAAAAAAATATATATATATATATATGTATATATATATATATATATATATATAATTTATGCATGAATAAATCCACATGAATTATTTAACATTATTGTTTGAATCATTAGGCTCTTGTGATTTGGCATTGAAGTACGCTTAGCACATTTTTCATTTGATTTTCCCTATACACAGTAGGAAGACAGTCAAATTTACATTTAAGTCGTTAAGTTAATTTTATTTAAAAATTTCTTCTGATGGAAATCTTAATTATTAATCGATCGTCCTGAACTTTAAAGTGCCTCGTGTACAATGAATCAATAAGATAATGTTAAAGTATTTTAAATTGCCACGTGCTGGGAACGATCGATTATGTTAAGTTGGCACATTCGCTCATTGTCACGAACTTTTTACCCTGTAAAATGCACAAGACCGTTGCCTTTAACCGTCAAAGTTGCTTATCAGTCGATTACAGTACCTAACATTCCATTTCAATCAATTACCCAGTATTATCGAATTAAAAGCGAGCAAATACGAAGTTTACGCAATATTTATTTTTTTTTTTATTCTACTTTAAGCACTCGGTAATTCCTTACGGTCAAGCTTAATAATAGCAATTATGGCACCGAGGGCGAATAATAGCGCAAATTAAAAGCTCATAATCACGATAAGACAAGCGAGATCGTTTTATCGCTCGTGCTTACGCTCGTTCATGCAGTCGTTCGCTCGCCCTTCTCCCCCCCCCCCCCCCCCCGCCGCGACCGTTAGCCCACTCGCTCGATCGGCCAAAGAGGCGGCGCCGAGCTAGCCGGTTTGACACCTGTTTCTGTTTGTCTGTCCGCAGAATGAAATACTCGCCCCAGCAGCAACAGCAGCAACAGCAGAAGGAGCGCAAGTCCGAGAGCGAGATGAGTTCGGTGAACGCGACGCCATCCCGGGCGTCCGGCGGCCTCCAGTGCAACGCCTCCGCGGCCTCCGGGCCCTCGACTCCGGCGCCACGACGCGCCACCACCTGCCGTCCCCTCTCCACGGACATGTTCGCCTGGATGCGCGTCTTTCGGCTAGCGACGATGCTCCACCAGGTCGGCTGCTAGTCGACCCGCGTCACCTTATCACAGCTTCTCGCTCGAGTCCCTCCCCGCCCCGCTCCATTTTTCCACTACAGTCCTTCCTCGATACAGTACTTTCATTGGCGGCAAGGATGAGCGGGTCTCCGCTCTCCTGTGAACGCCTAACCTCCTCCTCTCCTCTCTTCAGTTTGTCCCACGGAGATGACCCCTGTACCCTTTACCGTACGCAATAGATTACAAAGAAACAAAACAAAGCAAGAACCGAATACGGCCTCTCTCTCTCTCTCTCTCTCTAACTCGACTGTCACTTCAGTCAGCCGTTCATCCACGCTCCCCCCTCCCATCGCCCTACCCACTACCGCCAATCACGTGACTCTTATCGCTTATCAGGCGCATCTGCCATTAATTTGCGCGTTACTTGACCGCGGCTTTCGCTGACCCTTCCATTAGTCCTTTCCAACCGCTAAGACCTCTTCCAAGACCGTCTCGTAATACCATTTTTGCTCATTTAATACGGATTACATTTTCAAGTACAAGAGATAGTAACAGCGATATTATTGATTATATTGTTGATCGAGAAAAAATGCTTTGCGAATATTAAGTAAGTAAATATCGTTCGAGGATCGAATTTTTAACGCTTACCGTTAACTTTTTAACCGCATTTCTGATGAATCCGGCCCTTCTCTTCCTTTACAAAACTCCTGGACAAGCGCCCCACTGACTTTGATGTTATTATAAAATTTTTTATTTTTTTTTTTGTTTTTGTTTTACATAATTGGCGGGCACTTTCCTTCTTTCCCTTCTGGGTCATTCCTAAGGTAGTCGGCAGAGTCAGAGAAAGAGATAGCGTCCCAATTACCATATAGTTGACTTTATTAGCGCGCCGAGCGCCAAAGCAACTCCATTGGAAAGAAAAAGAGAAAAATCAAGAAAGAAGAAAAAAAAAGAAAAAAAATACCCATAAATAAAAGCAAACGATATAAAGATTTTTTGAGTATTGCCGCGAGCGAACTCGTGTCGAGTTTGCGAACTTAAGGCTCTGTAGAAATAATTATAAGCGAGTCGACTTAGAGTTAAAAAAATATGGCCGAAAAATTAAAAAAAAAAAAAAAAAGAAAAGAAAAGAAAAAGGAATAACAAACAAATAATAAACAAATAATAAACAAATAAATAAATAAGCAAATAAATAATAAAAGAATAATTAACTCGATCGTTATAGATTAATCGGCACTCTGTCTGACATTCTGATAGATTTATCGTCAATAAGGCAGGACTGCACAATTGTATATCGATTGTAATCGATTGTAATTCCCGCTGCGAATGCGCGACTGGAGTTGACGTAATTAAAGGAACGTCAACGTCGATTATCATGATGCGAGCATCGCACTCGTTTCCATTACCATTGTTTTCCCACATAGGATGATTTATTTGAGCGCTCGTTTAAACGAAATGTAGCGAATAATGCGACGGGTCGACATTGTCGAGGCGCGCTACCGAGCTAACCCAGATGAGAGTCCTGGGCTGGTCGTCCTCCGAGGCTGGGCTCGATCCTACCGCAGAAAGCCCTCGGCTCCTCCCGTTCGACCGGGTCCTCGTTGTGTGCAGATTGGCCGATCGGATTGAAGATCAAGGGATCCCGGCCACGCGATCAAGCGGCCGCGCGAACAACAACAGCAACAACAACAACGAGTATGTAGTCCGCGATGTAATCCGTGCTCAATATCTCCGTTATTATTAGCTTTATGCTCCGTTCGCGCGCTTCCGACAATTGATTTTCTTGCCTTCGGAGCCAATACTGCATTTGTATTTTAAGTTGTATGGTTTCGTAACTCGATCGGCCAACCTTAATATTATTAAAGCGCGAGAATTATTACAAAGCGAGAAGGACAAATACGGCGATTGGCTTCGTCTCGCAACGCCGCATTGAGCGCGAAATTTATATGCGAAGGGAAGGACGAGATAAGATCGGTAATGATGTATGTATGTTGTACCGAAATAGCTCCGACTGCCATGTCTAAGAGGTTAAGAAATCGTTATTGGGATAATTTCTGTTAAAACGGCCGTTAACGCAAAAATCGATAAAATCGCAGAAAAAAAAGAAAAAAAAAATTTGAAAAAAATAACGAAGATGAATAAGAAGCAAATGATGAAGATGACGAAGAAGAAGGAGAAAATGAAGAAGAAAATTTTAATAAACGAGTTTATCAGTCGCTTTCGAGCCATAGCGTTATCATTCTTTAATGTTATCTTTTATGTAACACGTGCCATTCCACGGAAACAATACACGCATTATGTAAATCTGGCAAAACATGAGTCTTATTTTATTTTCCTTATTTCCGCGACAATCCTGCGTGAAAGCGGAAATTCATAATGTACCCACACACAGACACACACACACACACACACACACACGCACACACGCACACGCGCGCGCGCGCGGAGAGACAGAGACAAAAAAAAAAGAAAACATATTATTATAATAATCATGATTGCAGCAGCGATGCACGTCTTCACGTTGAATGATAATAATATATTTTACGACCATGTGAGCAAATCGACTAATAAACTGTTTGCTTTATCTTACAACGTTCATGATTTTTGAGTAAACGAATTTCGAGAAAACCTCGCTTTTCCATACGAAAATCCCACTGAGAGTCGAACCACTGCATTCCTATTCTTTCCCTTAAACTTTTTCCCAACTCTCTGCCTCCCTCTCCCCCTCTCTCTCTCTCTCTCTCTCTCTCTCTCTCTCTCTCTCTCTCTCTCTCTCTCTCTCACTATCGATACGTAGATTGCCAATAATTTTCAGTTGAATTGAATTTCTGATCAAATGACCGAATACTCCTACTTCATTCTCCATTTACACTTGCAGCGTGCATATTCATTATGATCGCTCATTTATATTCACGTTAATTCAATGTAATTTCATCATAAATCAATTTACGATATCACCTACATTCATTTTCATCTTCATTTTTATCTATTATTTATATATATATATATATATATATATATATATATATATATATATATATATATATATATATAACTAGAAATGTGTTAGTTTATTTCTTAAATTCCATTTCCTAATATCAATTAACTTTAATTTTATAATCTTTTTTTTTGTTTTTTATTTTTTAATTAGAATCGACAGTTTATTTAAACTCTAATGACCATATTAGGTATGCAATTTAAGCAATTGAATAATATTACAGATATTGCATTACTGCAATGATAATTATTGTTAAAATAAAGATACCTAGAGTTGGATCTAAATGAATTCGGAAAATTCGATATTTCTTTCATTAAAAACTTGGTTTAAATTTCAATTGAATTTGAATTTTAATACTAACGTATTTGGAATTAAGATAATGAATTACTGAAAGTTAAAATTTTGCCAACTTCGGCTTAAGGACGAACGTCTCGATGACATTATATCCATTCATAAGTTAATTTAAACAATTTGTAGACATAGAAAAACAAAAACAAAAACAAAAGCGAAAAGACGAAAGACAAAAGTAGATAATTTTAAATATGTGCAATATGATAATTGAATGATGCAATGAATAATTTATTTAGCAATCAAATTATCGAAATTAATTTCGTTTTTATTATATAAATTTAATGAAGTCATAATTAAATTATATTTATGATATCTCAAAGCACTGTAAATGATAAACAATACGAGTGCATTAATATTGCTGAACATTTTATTGAATTACTGGTTAGTGTTACGTCATTACGGTACGATAATTATTGCAAAATCTGCACTTTTTCAGAATTCTATTTCAGCATATCAACTTACATATATGCAATAATGATAAATTATCTTAAGATGAATAAGTTTGTCAAATTTGTTTAGAATTTCTACATATTAGGAGAATAAATTTGCCATTGCACGCTGCATTGTCAAGGTAAGTGGAGCTACATGCGACAATTTAAAGCATATTAATGGCAATTGCCGGAAACAAAATTTTTTTGCGCAAAATGATGTGCCGACGTCCCTGACACATTCTATTCTCATGCGACATAAATGCTTGTCCCATACGAGGCTGAGCGTGGAAATCGAAACGATTTTCAAAATTGCTCTTAATAAGTCAATGTTATGTATAGGCATTCATTTTAAAGGCCAAAACATTTAAAAAGTCGTAAATTGAAATTCGCGTCGACTTAGAACCGCTCACATTATCATATATCAAGAAAACCAAGGCCCATAGCGAAAACGCCACTCGCTCTTAACGCTAAAAACCATAAATGTCATCTACAATACGGATACAGCGTCCCTTAGATATACCGATAAAGTAGCAATTTCCAACGATTAACCTTCCCCCACGTATGGACACCTGCGAGTCCAGTCGGCATCTCCATCACCCATCAACTCCTTCCTTCTAATCCATCGATCAATCCCAGTCTCGTAACCTCCCCAGCTTCCTCTCCTCCTCCTCCGTCGCCACGGATTTTCTCATTCTACCACTCCAAGCACTGCTACGCCTATTGTTTATTTTTACGCCTCTAGGCTATTTGCCTCGCCCACGCTCCTGCGCGACAGATGCACACGCACTTTCACAACGCTGCCACGCTGCCTTCGCGTCGCACTATCGCAACATTCTTCCACACTAAAACCACTTAATTTGCATGCGCTTCTTTACGAGGGGGAGAGCCGTTTTTGGCACAATTATCCTCACACCTCACAATTATCGTCTTATCTATCCTTATCTACCCTTCCCTTCCTTTCTCTTTTCTACCCTTTATCCATCCGCTCTTCATTCACGAACACTAATTTCACAACTCCGCTTGGACTGCACATTCGCGAAATTAACATATCCCTTGCACAATATGATGAACAAGCACATAAAGGCACTATTATTTAGCCGCTTACGACCATACGATAAACTTTTTCGTATTTTTTTTTTTTAATTTTTCGCATACTACCACCTTACGTTCCTTTAAACTCGCGACCTCTTGAACTCAATTAGCTAGACGATCACGGCAATGCTTTGCTTTGCTCAATTGCGTCTTAGGGCCCAATTTCAATAATTTTCACAGCAATTAATTGGCATTTAAAGATTTTATTGCAATGATGCATCGGATGTGCTATTGGTAATTATCAGGAATAGCTTTCGGAAAGTCCTGCAACGGGGATAAAAGTTTGCGAATGTGCGATAAACGTATAATAATATCGTATAATGTTACACTTTCTGATTATTTAAGAGTCGGGTAATGTTTAATAACATTTCGACTTTTTGTAGATGAATTAAATAGGACACCGATTATAATGTTCAACATGACCAATTAATTCAACGTTCTCCGAGTTTAAACACTGTTTCAACATTATCAAGACTCTCACTAAGATTCGATAAAAAGTCTCTTTCTCTCTCTCTCTCTCTCTCTCTCTCTCTCTCGTGATTGGGTTGGGTTAACGATGAAGAAGATGGCACATTGATAAATTCATCCTTAATAAGGATACAATTTGAAAGTGTCGGAAATTGATCGTAATTGAAAAGATCGATTAATCAGAAACTTCCACACCTTCGCACCTGTTCACCCTTACCAGTTGATTTATAGATCACTAGTGCACTTGTGCTTTTCGTTGATCCCGCATAACCGTCAGCTTGCAAACAAATGTATTTGGAACCTGGGATATTTTAGACCGTGCTCTCTCTCTCTCTCTCTCTCTCTCTCTCTCTCTCTCGTCCGATGGTACTACTTTCATCAAAGATATTTAATTCGCGTTATCTTATCAACTGCACGTGGGACGTTAAGCCGTTAACAATGCCGGTGCTCAACCCTATGCTTCTAGCTCTGTGTATTATAAATGATTTATGATTTGGTAGAGTGAAATTGATAATTGTTTGGGAAGTGAATAATTTGGAGTGACTGATATTGTAACTGTATTTGCTCACGCGAAACTAAATTAGGACAAAAATTTGAATGTTTATCCTGATAATAATAAAGCGCATTAAGATAGGA